CAATTACAACTCAATTGAATTAATAAGGACCAAGATACAAGTGGCCCAATCAAAACAACAAAATTGGCGCAAAAAATGAAGGAGTAAAAGGAACAAAACAAGAAAATCTTCAAAGCTCCAATTTTGATGTTCCCTTCACAATGAACAAACTTGGATAGTTTCCTCCCAAGGTGTTTGCACTCTAAGTTTGTGATGGATCCCTCCCAAAGCACTTTGGAATTTACGGAAAAATCCTCCAACTCAATCTTCCCCAAAGTTGCATGGAAGTGTGAAACTAGCCTTCATCTACACCAAGTAAAACAAACCAACCAAGAGCAAGAAAGGAGGCCAAATAAATAAAACTAAAAAGGCTAAATTAGAAAGTCTAAACTCAAGGGAATATTGATGAGTCAAAACACAAAGAATTCCAAGAAAGATAAGCAAAAAATTAAGGCAAGTTTAAGAAGGCAAACACTCAAAGGGAAATCCTAGAAATGCAAGTTTAAGAAGGCAAACACTCAAAGGGAAATCCTAGAAATGCTTTAGAATAGAGTTAAGTGTTTAATGTTCTTGTCCTTAAACAAAATAATGTGAGGTCTGATCCTTAATGTCCAGCCACGGTTTTGGTCTCAAAATGAGTCCAAAAATAGTCCAAGTCCAACTCCAAGTGTTCAAGGGTATAATGGTAATTGTCCACAAGTCTAGCAACAATTTCCTTTTGAATTTTTTTTCTTTTCTCTTGTATTTTTCACTCCAGCTTTTGGTGCAGCCCCTTGGTCAATTTTTTTTTTAAATTTTAACCTTGTTATGTTGCTTGGTTTTTACACTTGTGAGTGAATTAGTAGCACAAAAAAGTAGGAGACAAAAAGGACAAGTGGCATGCCAAAAGCAACTTTTGTAAGGTGGAATGTATCTTGTACTATGTACTAATTTGGTGCAGATTTTTCAGCAAGCACACACATTCTTGGCAGAATTTTCAATACAAAACATTACTTGGTTGTCATACAAAGGACAAGGGATGATCATGTAATGATGAGCATGTAGGAGTGGCTAACCATGCATGTGTAGGAGACAAATCCACATGGAATTCAACAAACTTTTAGAACATGTCATGAACTAAATAACATGCATGAGTGACCTCTAGGAACATGCAAAATTTCGGCCAGTCACCTAGAAGGAAAAACATGCATCATTCATTTCCATGTTACATGCATCAAGTGAAGGTGTTATGCATATACTTTGTATTTGGGTGAAAAAGTGAGGGAAACATAAACTTTAGACAAAACTTGGACAAATAAAGATTAAAATGGGGTTCATAAAGTGTTCATCATGTTCTTGAAAAAAATTTCCAACAAAGATGAAAATGAAGAAAAGCACACAAGAACCTATTTTAAAGGAAACCTAGAGCATAACAAGGAAGGCTCATGAACCAACAATGAACCACTCAACAAGAAGACAACATTTTAAGCAATATTTGAGAGGATAACATCAAGAAATATGAGAAGACATGGACATGACAAACATTTAGAAGACACAAAAGAGAAAAGACAAGTTACCCTTGAAGACAACCATGGCTTTGATACTACATGATGGAACCAACTTCTCCATGAGGGCTAATGGTTGATTCCTTCTCTTCTCCAAGGTTGAGATGAAATGAAGGGTGATCTCTTCAAGTGTATGGAAGTGGTGGAGATGGTGTTTAGGTAGGTGAAGATTGATGCACAAAATGGAGGAGAGGAAGGGAAGGTGTTTGGTGGTGTAGCTCGTTTAGGCTAGCTCACTTCACTTAGGATGATGAATGCCAACCAAGGAAGACCCAAGCTCACTCAAGGAAGAGAGGAGAAGATAGGGGGCCATGGAGTTCCTAGGGGGACTAAGGAAGCAATAAAGAGGCACAAGGCTCACTCAATATCATTAATTTCCAAAGTGGCTACAAGGTGGGTGACCTAGAGTACTTATAGAGAGAGAAAAGGAATCTAGTGTTTCTTGGGAGCATTTGGCCAAAATTTTAAGGTCCAAATACACCGTAAATGAACCCTAAATGTAGCCGAAATGAAATGGCTCTCATCTCTCCTAAAAGACTAAAGTGCCCTTAGGTATAGAAAAAGAAAGAAATGGACTTTGACCTTCTATAAAATTAAGGTTTAAGTCCTAAAATAAATCCTAAGACTAATTTTGCCTCATAATACAAAGGCTAAATAGAAATACAAAATAAAATCCTAATATCTAATGTACCCCAAAATACAAGGGAAAATTTGGAAAAGAAAGCAACAAACTAAGGAGAGGGCTCAAAATCTACACACATGATGATCATGGCTCTTAGTGTGGTGTGTTCTTCATATTCCTCTACTTTCCTAGCCATGGACCTTGTGATAGGTCCTATATGATGCTTCAAGGATGGTCCTCCATCAGCTGGAGGTCCAGAGCTAGAACTATCAGAGGGGGTAGCACCAGATGTAGTAGAGATAGGGAAGGCAGTGTGGCCAACAGTAGTAGTAGGGCGAGGGTGACGACCATGTAAGACGTAACAACGGTCAATTATGTGGCCCAGTTTGTGACAGTGATCACACTTGGGACGACCTTTTCCTGATTTGCGAGAATGCTGCCGATCATCATGTTGAGAAGCCAAAGCAAAGAAGTCACCAGTGGGAGCTGAAGAAGGTATGTTATGGGAAAACTTGCAAGGCACACGCAACAGAGTGGACCAAGCCGAGTTCAAGGTAGGCACGGTCGAAGATTCCAAAATCTGATCACGAATGGAAGAGTACTCATCAGGAAGCCCATACAATGCCATCAACATAAATAAAGTTTGGCGTTGCTCTAGTTCCTTGGAAGGAGTGGCAGCAAGAGGCAAAAGTTCATTGAAGTCATGTAGAAGGCCATGAACTTTGCCCAAATACTCAGCCATGGAGCCCTCAAGGCGTCATGGAGAAATGATATTCTGGAGATTTTTACACACACCATAAAGACGTTGAGTATCATTGGTGTACAACAATTGTGCTTGTTCCCATACATCAACACATGTCTCATGGGCACGAAAATTTTGATTTAGGGAGGGATGAATGGTCGACTTAAGGACACTACAAATTTGAGTGTCAATTTTTGACCAACAAGAACGATCCTTCTCATCAACGGAAGCAAGTGTCTGGGTAAGGTGAGCAACAAAATCCTGTCCCTTAACCCAAAGCTTGATATCCGAAGCCCAAGTATCATAATTGGTTCCATCTAACTTGTCAATCAAAATGGGGACATTGACATAGTTAGTGAAAATAGAGGAGTTAGGCCGAACAGCGGTAGGGGAAGCCATAGATGCTAGAATAGGAGAGAGAAATAGCAATAAGAGAGAGAAAATGGCCCGAGAAGGAAGAGATTCGTGACAAACGAGGTCCGATAACAAAACAAATAGTAGATCGGGGTAGAGGACGTCGGGGTGAGTCTGGCACCGGTGGCTAGACACGCCACCATGCGCGGTGGCAAGCGGAAAAGAGAGAGAAAAATTGCGTGAAACGGAGGCGGCCCATGTGGGCGCGTGCGAACTTCGTTCACCGAGATTCCGACAGCGTTGGGTTCGCCGGAGCAAGGCGACCGCGGTGGTGGGTCGCTTGTCGAAAAACAAACGGCGGTGGAGGTGGCAGTGGCAATGGACGGCGGCGGCAACAGAAAAAAAAATTGAAAAAAAGGGAAAAACTACCAGAAAGAGACAAGGCGAGGTGGGTAGCCGGAAAACAGAACGAGACACGTTTTTCGAGCACTGATGAGTAGTGGGTCCACCGGAAAGTCAAGGATAGGCTCTAGATACCATGTTGAGAGAAATGGTAAATGGAGAGAACATATTCCTTGTGTATTGTAAAGCAAAAGATGTGTTTATATACAAAGGAGTGGGCCTAGGCCCCATAAAATAAAACTATATCTAACAAATATTAAACTATTAAATTATAATATATGCTATAGTAAGATAATATAATGTAATATAGTATAACACTAAACCAAAATTAATTTTTTGTGGCAATTAATTTATTATTTACCGGCCATATAAATGGTCATTATTTTTTTTACCAGCATTTAAATAAAGGCTGGTGTATCCAATATCGCTAATACTATTACTGACATTTATATAAAATGCTGGTAAAGATCTACTAAATTATCGGAAAAACTTATTTTTTTAGTGGCAATTCTAGTAGCCATTTTAAAGGCTATTAAAAGTTATTTTTTTTTAATTGTCTCCTTTACTTTAAATAATTTATTCCTATAATTTCCTTTTCTAAGTTCATAACTTATATACTTTTTTTTATCTCTACTCGATGTGGAATTTGTAAGATGAAGGTTGTCTTTTATTTATATATTTTTTAATTTATTTTTTTAATTGTCTTGTCTCTTAAGAAATGTGAGATTTATAAGATGAAAGTTGCTTTCTAATTATTTTATAAAACTATTGAATTTGGTAATAATAGGTGATTTGATACCAATTTAGAATAATGAATTAGGAGTCAACCCTATAAAATGAATCTGTAAGGTGATAGTTATTACTCATTTATATACTATTTAATTATATTATCTCTAATCGATATGGGACTTAAGTTTTTTCTAATAAATAATTGTCGCTAATAATAAACTTTAGTGTAATATAAATATATTTTTAGTGGCTATTATATATTAGCCATTAATATTTTTATATATGACGGCAATTAAATTATTGTTATTAAATAATTGTCGTTAATAATAAATTTTTTTATAGGGTAATATAAAGATATAAAAAAATTTATAAAAATAAATTATGAAAAATATTAAATTAAGATAAAAGTGACAATAAATAATCTAAAATGTTGGAATAATATTCCTCAATTATATTGGTTACCTTATAATTTTTCTTAATCTTATTAAATACCAATGCTAACATAAAAGCAACAATATTCAATACAAAATAGTAGATATTTATACGCACACTGACATCGATGAAAGAAAAAAAAAAAAAAAAAAAAAACTAAACAAACACAAAAATAATTAATTACACGCGAAAATTCAAATTATATTTAAAAAAGGTTCAAAGAGACCTTGCATACACGCAGAAGACGAACACCCAGAAGAAGTTTCTTTGAACTGAGATCCCTTGTTATGTTCCAATGCTTCTTTTTGTCACTATAACCTTCAAGCCATGTTTCATATGAAGGATAATGGAGATACTTGGGGATATGGGGTGACCTTCCACCAAGTGGATCTGAAAATTCCATAATACCGCAGCAGCAATCATCTTTATCTCATTGAAGCTTATGTTCTTACCCAAACAACTTCTAGGTCCTGCATTGAAAGCGATGAACTTATAAGAGGGTACTTGAATGATCCCTCCTCCCTTAGAAATCCACCTCTCTGGTCTAAATTTCAAGCAATCATTTCCCCATATTTCCTCCATCCTTCCCATTGAGTATAGAGAGTATATAATCATGGTTTTTGCATCAATCCTATGACCACTTGGAAGCACATCAGATTTTAATGCACACTTGTGCTCCAAAGGCACTGGAGGATAAAGCCTCAAGGCTTCACTCACTGCTGCATGGAGGTAAACCAACTTGCCAAGCCCTTCCACACCTAAATCCTTCCAATTACCTTTAATTTGTGGCAAATTTTCTTGGATCTCTTCAAGAATCTTGGCTTCCACAGATGGGTGTGTTGCCACCAGCCAGAAAAACCAAGTGAGACCTGAACTAATGGTGTCTCTCCCAGCGGCAAGGAGATTTATTGCTGTGTCTCTCAGAAACTTGTCATCTACTTTCTCCTTTCCTGATTCATTATTCATAAGAACATTTAGCAAGCTATATTGCGAGTCATCTGCTTGGGTTCTACTTTGGCTTAGCATTTTGAATTTGGATGTGGTGATTTGTTCATACAACATTTGGTCAATGATTTCCTGGCTTTGTTTGTGCTTCTTCTCTATTCCAACTTGAAGCCATTTCAGCAGCTTCCGTAAACATCTTGGCATGATGTGTCTGTAAAGCAGGACATTCTCTATTTCTGTGAAGGCTTTCTCACCTGCAACTTCTGGGAATTCAATGGAAAGGCAATTAGGATCAAATCCTAGAACCACAGAGCAAATGTTGTCAAAGGTTAACCTTTGAAAAAGTTCTTGTAGGTCCACTTCCATTCCTGCTTTGCATGCATGATCAAGAACTGGAAGCAGACAACTCTCAATCTTTTTCTCAATGGTTTTGTGAGTGAACAACCGAAAACTTGGCTGTTTAAAAGCTGAATGAAGTATAGTTCTGTTATACTTCCATAGCTGGGAATCGGACCTAAAAATCCCATCTCCCAGCACCTCAAAAATGTCTCTAAAATCATCACCCTTCCCAAAGTTCTCAAACTTTGTGCTTGTGATGTGTTGCACATTCATAGGGTCGCTGGTGACAAAAATGTTCATGTTTAAAAACCAAGGTCCTTCAAACATGAAAGAACCTCTTTCTTGTTTCGAAAGAGAAGTGATATAATCAAAGATGGTGGGAACGTTGAGAAGAAGAGAAGGTAGCATCCCAAGAATGGGCCACTTGACAATTGGGGTATGCCTATTGAGCCTCCAATAGCGGATTACAACGAAAAGAAGAACCGCTACAAGGATTTCTCCAATCCCAAGCACAGCCATCAGTAGTTGTATGAAGGTTTTTTATGTGGCTTATAGGATGGTACGTGCAATGTACATGTTGTGATGAGGAGGCAGCATGTTACGGTATTTATAAGAGATTTTGTTGATTTGGACCATTGTAGAGGTCCAGCTTCTGTTCAGGTTCGATGCAAACAAAGGAAGGATACGGGAATTAACTAGGAAACAAAAGCAGTTGATATACATCATAGATCTTACTTTTATTTTATATACATGCAGCAGAATGATTTATTTACTGGAAAGTACGAATTAATTTCTTTTCGTGGAATCAATGAAAAATCAAATCATTAGTAAGTAACTTAAACTACCACTACTAGAAAAGGACTCATCAAAGTTGCTAATTCTACTAAAATCGATGTAGAAACAAAATATGGTGATATTTTTGTAATTATTTGAAAAATGTAAAGTAAATTTACATTGGTATTAAAGGAAAATGATGTAAATATTGAGTATTATACCTCGGCTTACTAGGGACCGATGTAGTACCGAAAACATGGTAACAACTTTGTAAATAGGAGAAAAAACATAAACATATCTACATCGGTTCACTTTATGACCGATGTAGTACTGAATAGCTTTCCCTCACCTATGCGCCATCTCCAAAGAAAGCCCCTGTGCCAACTCCAAAGAAAGCCTCCGTCCTTTCCAAAGACAGCCCTTTGCTTCCCATCGTTCTCCAAAGAAAGCCCTTTTGTTGTTCTAATTCTGATTCTGCGAGAACCTTCATCGTAAGCACCCAGACTCTTCTCAGACTGTGAAAAACATCATTATCGAAAACCCTAACTCCTGCGGGTATGTTGTTCTTTTTCCCTTTCAAACTTCTAATTCTACGAAAGCTTCTGATATTAGTGAAAGTTGAAGAGTTCATAACATTATTCTGGGTTGGACTGATAGTCATTTAATTTTTACTATTTCTTGTTTTCACATTCTCTCTAAATAATCCGTCTGGCACTGTTCAGTTTTAACAATTTGAACAATCGTTTATGTGAAACATATTAGTGAACCGGTTTGTATTGAACAATCATATATAAAAAATGTTCCTGTTCTTGTTTAATTGGGTAGCTATAGATGATGTTTCTATGATTCTATTCATTGTGCATTCTAACAATTGTCTAACTAGTTAAACTAAGGTAGAACAAAAGTTTTAAATTGAGTTAGGACTTATGAAGAACTCTAAAATCAGGGTACATAGAGAGAGAAAGCAGCAAGGATTATGACAACAGTAGCAGGCACTATCGTAGAAGTAAAAGTCACAGTAGAAGTAGGAGCAGGTGTAGAAGCCAGAGCCTGCAAGTTGGCATTGCAGGCAATGTAACATGTTCTAGTCCTTAGAGAGATGGAAGTAAGAGAATTTCTGCATATAGTAATCTAGCTAAACTTAAATATATGTATGGTGATTTAGGGGATACTAAAGGAGATCCCAACATGGAAATAATTCCTAGAAAAGATAGTGGAGGCGAAGAGGTTATTAGACTTGGTGGTTCTACATGGAAGTATTGAAAGTTATCATGGAATGCTTGTATCAAATGTTGGATGGATGAATTTCACGGAGAGAAAAATATTGGGTCTATCCCTTTTGTTACCTTTATCTTTTGGTTGACAGATGTTTTAGATTAGTGAATGCTATCTATATTGGCATTTATAGATAATGTATATTAGAATTTATTCCTGGTGTACTGAATTTCATGCTTTGTAATTGCAAGTTTTAGACTAAGATAATTTTATGTAGTCTAGAACTACAATGCTTACATTAATAGTTGAAACATGATATTTTACTATGTTCCCATACATATCAATAATTTAACAAACCATTAATTTACCCTGAAGTATCACTCTCAAATAATCCTTAAATTACTGAACTTGTTTAAAAAAAATTTAAAGTATTAGAAATCTTGCTATATAGTTACTTGAATTGGTAGTGGCATGAACATTTATATCTTGATCCTACATCCATCTTTGCATAATGTTTTCATGGGTGAGTAAAAGAGGGGGGTTGACAAGATTTAGAGTTGGATGTGAGTCTATGTGAGAGAGTCTATATGATCTTCTACCTTGGGCCCAGGGGATCTACAATGGGAATCCCCTAGATGAGGGGAAATCGTGCACAACTCTAGTGCCTGACTAACTTGTGATAGATTCCGTTCTGATGAGAATGGACCGCGTGTTGATTACACATAGTGTGGAAATCACTTTCTTGTCTATGTGCTCTTTGACTATTTCATATGTGCACTTTATGCAAAGTGAAAGGGTACCACTTGCATTTAGAGATAAAAGCATATAATTTTTCCCCCCCTGCCTCCTATTTATAGGCAACCTGAGTCAACCGGAACGACCGTACTGAATTCGGAACGGCCCGTTCCGAATCCTTCATATGTATGCAAATTTTTGAACTGGAACGGCCCGTTCTAAATTTGGAACGGCCCGTTGCCAAAAAGCAGAACGGCCCGTTCTAAGACTCATCCAGAATGGCCCGTTCTCCTTCCGGAACGGCCAGTGCTCCTTCCAGAACGGCCCGTTCCAAAATCAGAACAGCCCGTTCTCCTTTTGGAACGGCCCGTTCTGGGCCCGTTCTCAATCTTTAAACTTAGTTTCTTTTTGGTGCTTGGAACGGCCCGTTCCGCT